AAGGTAGCAGTTGTGCATAATTATCATTACCTATGCATCAAAACATGAAGAATAGGTGTCAGCAGCTTGGGGAAAAATCTCTGAAGACAATGATGGGGTAGTTTTAAGAAATGCTGCAATCATCAGTTCTCTTGATCATGAAGACAAAAATGTATGGATACACAGGGACATTAACAACTTGAAATTGAAAATTAATTTAGAAGACTGAATATGAAGAGATTAATCCTTAACTAATTTATATTACTTAAAATTACCTTTTCTTCTACCACAAGGGATACATATACACATGCACACATACACCTATATAGATATTTTTTTATTCATACGAAACAGAATAAAGAAGAAAATTCAAATGGCCCATAATTTCACCATCCAGATAATTATTCGAGACATTAAAATAGGGCCAAAAAAAAAATCAGCTATATTATTCACGTGCTGTACTTTGCTCATTTGTCCTCTAGTTTTTATATTGTTGCTATTCATAGATTACCTCTGTTTCCTAGATTAATACTTCCATTTCTAAGTTTGCAAAATCATGTTTATGTAAATCCCCAACTTTTAACTGGTTGTTTCGGTTTGGAAACACAGTATAAGGAACAGTTAAATTCCCAGGTTAGCTAAATAGGACTAATTTAACTCAAAATGCACCTTTAACATAATAACTACTGTGGAAATATAGAACCTATAAGCTCTGTTATGGACTAAATTATGTTCCCCCACAATTCCTATTTGAAGTCCTAACTCCGTATGTGATTGTATTTACAGATAGGACCTATAAAGAGGTAATTAAAGATAAGTGAAGTCATAAGAGTGGGGCCCTAACCAAGGTGTTCTTATAAGAGGAGGAAGAAAGGCCAAAGACACCCAGCCTGTGGTATTTTGTATGGCACCCTGAGATGACTAATAAAGGCTCTTTTACAGCATTATTTTTTAAAGATTAGTATTTTGCGTTTCAACTTGGGACATCCTCTTCTGCTATAGTTCTAGCATCAGAAACAAATAAATATTCCCCTTCATTCCTCTACCTGCTGATCAGTAAAACTGCAAACATTCTCAATTCCAAGACCTCTGGGTGTTTTTTGTTTGTTTGGTTGTTTTTTTGTGTGTGTTTTTCTGTATCTTGGCAGTGAGAGCGGAGGGCCAGGATGTAAGCTTTAGAATTGGTGCTCAGTGGAGATAAAAGCTGAGAGAATGAGGTGAGGTGGAAGATAGGGAGACAGAAGAGGAACTGAAGAATTCTAGTGGGCCCTAGCTGGTGTGGCTCAGTTGGCTGAGCGACACCAGAGTTGTCCCATGCACTAAGAGGTTGCTGGTTCGATTCCTGGCCAGGGCATATGGCCAGGTTGTGGGCTCAGTCCCTGGTGGGGGGCGTGCAAGAGGCCGCCCATTGATATTTCTTTCTAATCGATATTTCTAACTCTCTCCCTGTCCCTCTGTCTCCAGAATCAATAAAAACATATGTAAAAAAAAAAAAAGAATTCTGGTAGGATGGGAATAAACACTAGAATCAGGATATTTGGGCTCAAAGTCCTCAAACTGCAACTATGCTCTTTATTAGCTGTATGACCTTCAAAAAGTTATTTAACTTCTCTCTGGATCAGTTTCTTCATGTGAAATATCAGAAATAGAAATAATAAATTCTACATTGGGGTTAAATTAGCATAAATAAATGACATTCAAAATCATTAGCTGAATTAAGAGCATAGTTGCTCTGATATACTAATCTATAGGATATATTATTTACATAATTACTTCCCTTTTAGCGGTATTCTGAAGCGAAGAAAAGGGTATGATCTCGGAAATCATATAGATCTGTATTCAAATACTAATTCTGCATGTAAAAGCTATATGTAAGTTAGCTTTCCTGAGCTTCAGTTTCATTATCCTTAAAATGAGGCCAACAATGTTCACCTTATATGGTTTGTAAGGAATAAGTGAGATCAGGTGTATAAAGTGCCTGACCAAAGCTAAGAATACCGTAAAGATTTTCTTTTTTTCACAAATTAAGTGCATTCTCAATCCAAATCCCCATAGAATTTTTCACGCAATTTGACAAGCTGTTCTAAAATTAATCTGGACGAGAAGATACACAAAAATATCCAAATGAAAAAGAACATTAGGAGAATTTTGGTATTACATATGTGTATGTATGTGAAATAATTAAATCGGCATGGTACTAGCATACATACAGACAAATAGATCAGTGGAAAGGAATGGAGTCCAGCTCAGCAATTCCACTTCTGGATATTTATCAGAAAAAACTCAAACACTAACTTGAAAAGATATATGCATCCATATGTTCAATGCAGCATTATTTACAAGAGCCAAGATTTGAAAGCAACCTAAGTGTCCAACAAGAGATGAATGGATAAAGAAGTGGTACATATATATACACACACCATGGAATATTACTCAGCCATAAAAAGAATGAAATCTTGCTTTCTGCAACATGGATGAACCTAGAGGGTATTAGGTAAGTGAAATAAGTGAGACAGAGAAAGACAAATACCAAATAATTTCACTTACATGTGGAATTAAAAAATAAATGAATAAATGAACAAAACAGAAACAAATTCAAAGATATAGAGAATATTTTGATAGTTGCCATATGAGAGTGGGGCTGGAGGGATGGATAGAAAAGGGGAAGGAATTAAGAAGTACAAATTGGTCATAGAATATATACCATAGGAAATACAGTCAATAATATTGTAATAACTATGCATGGTGTCAGATGGATACTAGATTTATCAGGGTGATCACTTCGTAAGTTATATAGACATCTAATCACCTGAAACTAATATTGTATGTCAACTGTAACTGAAAAACAAAAAATTATTTTAAAAAAGAATGGAGTCAAGAAACAGACCTATAAGTATATGGGGATTTTGCATATCACACAGATATAAGGAGTAAGAATAGCTTATTCAGTAAAGTGTTGGGCCAAGTGGCTGTCCTAAAAAACAATTAAATTCCTACCTCAAACTCTAATGTGGTATTCTATTCTAATCAGCATACAAAACTCCTTCTTAAACTAAAAAACAATTTAAATAGTCTTATAAATATAAAAAAGATTGTGGCAAAATCTTTTAAAAAAGGCAATTTCTTGACACCAATTGAGGTTGGCAGTGAAAGAGACAGCAGTGCAATTTTGAAATAAAGCCTTTAGGCACCTGTTGTGTGTTTTTTTAAAAAAAAAGGCAATTTCTCTCATATAATACTAAATCAAATGAAACAATTTCCTGTTAAGTGGGCACCTTAGTGATGTATGTGCTTGTAGTTACAACCACACACAACTTAGGAATGCATAAAATACAACAGAAATTTCAATTAAAAAATAAACATATACTATGCTCCCATGATTCTAAATTGCATTATGAAGTGAATTTCTCAACAATTCACAATATTTTGTGACTAATTACATTTTATTCATTTATTTATTTTAAATGGTTTTATGACTTGAGAGAGAGGAATAGAGAGGGACGGAAAGACAGAAACATCAATGATGAGAGAGAGTCATTGATCGGCTGCCTCCTGCACACTCACTACTGAGGACAGAGCCCGCAACCCCGGCATGTGCCATGATGGGGATTCGAACCCCGATCTCCTGGATCATAGGTTGATGCTCAACCACTGAGCCACGCTGGCCAGGCGTGACTAATTACATTTTAAAATGTAATTTTAAAATTAGAGCTTAAGAGAGTCAGAAATAGGAAATCTAACTATATTAGGTAATTGGAAGACAAAGCAAAACTTAATTGCTACGGTATCCAACATTCTAAAGGTATAATTTAGTAATTCAATAAAGAGGAAAAATGTGCTAAATTTTTTTTGGAATGACAACCTTGGGATTATATTTTAATTAACATGTTGACAAAGCGTATCTTCAAAAGCTTTATCTCAAGATTTTATTCATCTGAATGGCCTTCACATTTATCACTTGGTGTCACAGATTCAACATCTGTAAATGTCAGTCTTGGGAATGGAAGATAGGTACTTCTCAGAGACACTTCCCATTATTTCCTTAAGATCCCAGTTCAGTTGGCCTCTGTCGCTTGCAGTTATTTCTGGCCACTGTGCCTTTTCCACCAGACTCAAAATTTCACTCCTATACTCCCGTATTTTTTCTAAGGCTTAATAATGAATTTTATTGTTGGCAATTATTATGAAATTGACAAAACTGTGAAAGTAGCAAATGAGAGGAAAGACCTGGAACTGCAAAGTTAAAGATCTCACGATTAAAGTTATCCTTATAATGTATACAAAAAGACTAGATAAGATGTTAGATCTTCTTCTGGTCTTCCAACTAATTCAGTTCCAGTCTTAAAACAAAGCTAGCCTCCTAGTGCCTAAATCCCTTAGTATTTATTCAATGAGTACTGCCCTTTTTGATCATTCTTAGACAACCAAGTTTCTACGCCAGCCTTCCCCATCAGAGAACGGTAAGTCGACAGACGTGGTTAACCTGAGTCTCGGGAAGATACTCATTCGCAACTAAGAAAAAACTCCAGGCTGTCACCTCACGTTCTTATTTAATCTGAAAACTCTTAAAGCGTGGTTTATTCTCTGACACCTTCAAACTACTCTCCAAAAATAAAACTGTCTAGTGAGAAGGAACTGAAATGTATTCCTTCAAAAGCGGGAAACGTCAGGTGTCACGTCTAATTTCTACAGAGCGAGATGAAAGACCTTCAAACTCCACAGCGGTAGTTCGGGGGAACCCCCCCGTCGCTGCAGATCGCAAGCCCCTGGCCCCGGGTGAAGGCGCAGGGTCGGGTACACGCTCGCCCAGGAAAGCGGCAGAGCGCTCCCGGGCTTTCGGGCAGCCGCCATGGCCCGCAGAGCCGGCATCCTCGGCGGAGTTATCTCACGTCCCGCCCCCCAAGCCCGGCGGGTTCGTCATAAACACGCTAGACAGAAAAAGAAGAGCGGCTGAGGGACCCCGCACGCGTCCAACGAAGCCCATCCACCGCCTGACCGTCCCCAAGACAACGAGCTCTTACCGGCGCGCTCACCAGTCGACTCAGGATCGGGACTACAACTCCCAGGGGTCAACGCGGCCGACCGAGCTGGTCCTTCCCAGAATGCAGTACAGCGGCGTCCCCGTCCCTCCTCCTTTCGCTCCTCCTACTTCTCTCCCCGGCGTCACCCCGGAGGGCCCGAGGTAGGGTGCGGAGGGGACCCCAAGCCCTCGGCGTGCCGCGTCAGACGTTGGGAGGGGGAACGGGGCGGGGAG